TATGGGGAGGAAATGGGAGGGGAGGTGTTGCATTGTGGTAAATTGTGGTCAATGACATGAGACAAAGTATATGTGAACTGCTGTATGAAAAGTGAATTTGCTCTGTAAATCTTCACCCAAATCAAAATAAAATTAAAGAAAAAAGGGGCGGGGAGAAAAAGAAATACCATATGATCCAGCAATTCCACAACTAAGTATATATTCTGGAGAAATAAGAGCCATGACTCAACAAATATATGCACACATATGTTTATTGCAGGGCTATTCATGATAGTAAATAGATGTGAACAACCTAAATGCCCATTAATGGAGAAATGGATCAACAAACTGTGGTGCATACACACGATGGAATACTATGCAATGTTAAAAAACAATGATGAATCTGTGAAACATCTCAAAACATGGATGAAATTAGAGGCCATCATGTTGAGTGAAGGTAGTCAAAAATAAAAGGACAAATATTGTATGAGATCACTATTGTAAAAAGTCAAGAAAATGGTTTCACAAATAAAGAAACATTCTTTGATGGTTATCAGGGATGTATGGGAAAGGGAGGGTAAACTACTAACCACAGGGTAGACACATATTAACTTGTGTGAAGGAGGGAGAAATGTAAATTAAAAGAAAGAGACAGATAGGAAACCAAAAAGAAATATTGGAACTGGAAGAGAGAATGACTGAAAGGAGAGACACAATGGAAGTATTTAACAGCAGATTTGATTAGGGGGGAAAAAGAAAAAAACAGAACCAGTTAATCGCAGGATTAAAAAACATCACACCCACACCCACTGCCATCTAGTTGATTCTAACTCATAGTGACCCTTTAACACAACGTAGAACTGCCCAATAGGGCAGATTGCCTCATGTTTCTTTAACAGAGCAACTGGTAGGTTCAAACCACTAACTCTTGGCCATCAGGTGAATACTTTAAACACTGTGTAACCAGAGTTCCTTTATGTGTGATATTGCATTGTAAAAGTTAAATCACTTTACTATTAATTGTTATTATATTTATACAAGTATAACTTATGATAAGATATTATTAAATTAATGTCCATTTTCAGAAAATATAGGATACTGAATTTTAAAAACTAAGGGGGAATAAAAAGATCTTTACCTAAGGAATAATTCATTGTCTTTTCCATTTGTGTATTTATATTCGAAATAATAGGAAATATCATTAAAGATATAACAGATGTCAACAGACTTTCTCCATTAATTAAATTGGTAAGCGTCCTGGAAAGACCTATGAGGAAAAAATATATTTCTTTTAAGTAAGAAAAATAATCATCAATGTCAAAGAATAAAATCTTATCACCAGGTGAAGGGATTTTCTTAATTATGGTTGATTCACATCACACGATCTGCCCTACATACTTTAAAACAACAACAATAACAACAAAACAATTAATTAAGTTTGAAAATTCCTTTCAAGAAAATTTGTATATTAGCTGTAAGTTAAACTTGTTGTTGTTAGGTGCCATCAAGTTGTCTCCAAGTCATAGTGACTCTATGCACAGCGGAACGAAACACTGCCCTGTCCTGTGCCAGCCTCACGATCCTTGCTATACCTGAGCCCATCATTGCAGCCACTGTGTCAATCCATCTCGTTGAGGGCCTTCCCTTTCTTCATTGACTCTCCACTTTACCAAGGCTGATAGTCTTCTCCAGAGAATGGTTCCTTCTGATAACATGACCAAAGTAGATGAGACGAAGTCTGGCCATTCTCTCTTCCAAGGAGCATTTTGGCTGCACTTCCTCCAGGACAGATCTATTAGTCCTTTTAGCATACCATGGTATTCTTAGCATTGTTCTCCAACACCACAACACAAAAGCATCAACTCTTCTTCGGTCTTTCTTATTCATTGTCCAGCTCTCACATGCATAAGAGGTGATTGAAAATACCATGACTTGGGTTAAGTGCATCTTAGTCTTCAAGGAGACATCTTTGCTCTTCACCACTTGAAAGAGATCTTTTGTAGCAGACTTGCCCAATGCAATACATTGTCTTATGTCTTGACTGCTGCTTCCATTGGTGTTGATTGTAGAGTGAAGTAATATGAAGTCCTTCATGATTTCAATCTTTTCTCCATCCATTTGGAAGCTGTTTATTGGACTGGTTGCAAGGATTTTTATTTTCTTTATATTGAGGTGTAATCCATACTGCAGTCTTTAATCTTCATCAGTAAGTGCTTCAAGTCATCCTTACTTTCAGCAAGCAAAGTTGTGTCATCTGCATATTGCAGGTTGTTAATGAGTCTTCCTCCAATCCTGATGCTACATTCTTCTTCATATGGTCCAGCTTCTTGGATTATTTGCTCAGCATACAAATTGAATACCTATGGTGAGAGGATACAACCCAGGCACACTCCCTTCCTGATTTTAAGCCATGCAGTATCCCCTTGTTATGTTCAAACAACAGCCTCCTGATCTATGTACAGGCTCCTCATGAATATAATCAAGTGTTCTGGAATTCCCATTCTTCTCAATGTTATCTATAATTTGTTATGATCCACACAGTCAAATGCTTTTACATAGTCAACAAAACATAAATGAACATCTTTCTGGTATTCTTTGTTTTCAGCTAAGATCCATCTGACATTAGCAATGATATCCCTCATTCCACGTCCTCTTCTGAATCCAGCTTGTATTTCTGAAAGCTTGGTGTCAATATACTGCTACAACCGTGTTTGAATTATCTTCAGCAAGGTTTTACAGGCATGTGATATTAATTATGTTGTTCAATAATTTCCACATTCTGTGGGATCACCCTTCCTTTGTAATGAGCTAAACTTACACCATCATAATTAAGGTCCAAGTTAATGGTGGTCAATCATAGTTTATTTATGTGAGAAAATCAACTAGAACTCTCATTCCTTATTTCAAAGCAGAGATGAAAGTATAAAATTAATTATTATTATTATTATTTAATTTAGTGATTTGGTCTATATAAACATACCCATAATAAGTCAAATATATATTTAAAATAAAAGAGAAATCAATGACTGAGAGATAAAATAAATTCATAGACCAAGGTTTTATAACACTGCAGCTAAAAAAAACTATTAAGGTAATTGTCCATATAATCTAGCTATAATCTAATCTAGGCTGATTTGTCCATACATTTCTTTCCATAGTACCAGAAATCAATCTCCATGTAAGGAGAGCACACTGATATTACCTCCTTTCATCTTCCTTTTACTCCATTTATTTTGATATTCTAAACTTAAACCTCTGGTAGCATAGTGGCTAAGACACTTGCCTGCTAACCAGATGGCTGGCGGTTCAAATCCACCAGCCACTCCTCGGAAGGAAGGTTGGGCAATCCTACTTCCGTAGTGATACTGCCTCGGAAACCCAAGGAGGGGTCGCTATGAGTCGGGGCCGACTCGACGGCACATAACAACAACAACAACAAACTTAAACCAAAAGATCAAACCTGGTGCTGTCAAGTGGACTCCAAGTTATAATGACCAAATAAGATGGCATAGAACTGCCCCATAGGGTTTCCAAGGCTGTAATCTTTGTGGAAGCAGACTTCCACGTCTTTCTCCCATGGATCAGCTGCTGGGTTTGAACAGCCAATCTTTTACTTAGCAGCCAAGTGCTTAAGCACTCCATCACAAAGTCTTCTATTCCAAATTTAGTTATTTATAAATCATCATTTTCCTCTGCCATTAAATGTAATAGCAAAACTGTAACTGGATATCTTTAGTAATTTTTTAAAAGTCCAAAGAAGGGAAATGTTATTATGTAAGTCCTATTTGTGACACAACCACTGTATAACCGTGACCAAATCTAACTACTGTAAGAGTGCTGATGAAAAGCCAGGGCAGTTTGTTTCTGAGTAGATAAATTGCCTTGATGGCCCAATTTACTTCTCTTTGTATCCGTGTCCTTTTCTCTAAGACTTTGCAGTTTCTCTCAAAGGTCTTTTGAGTAGCAAAAGGGTTGGCATTGCAAAGTCAAACAGCATAAGAATGTAGGGTAAAACCTACCACTTTTCTGTCAGTTGGTCATACTGTGGTGGCTTCAATGTTGCTGTGAGGCTGCAGACTATGTCATCGCTATTTCAAATACCAGCAGTGTCACCCATGTTGGACAGGTTTCAGAGGAGCTTCCAGACTAAGACAGACTTGGAAGAAGAAAGGGCCATCCACTTCTCAAAGAATTGGGCAATAAAAACCTTATGAACAGCAGTGAAACATTGATATATTACTGGAAAACTTTATGAATAACCCTGAAACATTGTCTGATATAGTTTCAGAAGGACTAGGGAAGAGCTGCCTCCTCAAAGTCAAGTTGACCTTAATGATGTAGATGGAGTAAAGCTTTCGAGACCTCCATTTGCTGATGCAGCATAACTCAAAATGTGAAGAAACAGCTGTAAACATCCATTAATAATCAGAAAGTGGAATTTGCAAAGTATGAATCTAAGAAAGTTGAAAGTTGGTCAAAAATGAAAAAGAATGCATAAAGATCTATATCCTAGGTATTAGTGAGCTAAAATGGACTGGTTTTGTTCATTTTGAATCAGATAACCATATAATGCACTATGCCAGGAATGACAAATTGAAGAGAAATGATAAGGCACTCATTGTCACAAAAATGTTTCAAGATCTGTCCTGAAGTACGAAGCTGCTAGATAATATCCATACACCCACAAGGAAGATCAGTTAACATTACTATTATTCAAATTTATGTACCAACCACCAAAGCCAATGTAGAGGAAATTAAAGATTTTTACCAACTTCTCCAGTCTGAAATTGACCAAACACGCAATCAAGATGTGTTGCTTATTACTAGTGATTTGAATGCAAAAGTTGGAAATGAAAAAGAATCATTGTTAGTTGGTGATTAAAATGACACTAGAGATCCCATGATAGAATTTTTCAAGACCAGTGATTTATTCATTGCAAATACCTTTTTTCAACAACACAAACAGCATCTATACATGTGGACTTCACCAGATGGAATACACAGGAATCAGATGGACTACATCTGTGGCAAGAGGTAATGGAAATGCTCAATATCCTCAGCCAAACAAAGCCAGGAACAGACCATCAACTGCTCATTTGCAAGTTCAAGTCGAAGCTGAAGACAATTAAAACAAGTCCACAAGAACCAAAATATGACCTCGATTATATCCTACTTGAATTTAGAAACCATCTAAAGGATAGATTTGATACACTGGATACCAATGACTGAAAACCAGAGGAATTGTGAGATGACATCAAGAACATCATCCACGAGGAAAGCTAAAGTTCCTTAAAAACAGGAAAGGAATAAAAGACCTAAATGGATGTCAGAAGAGACTCTGAAATTTGCTCTTTAACAGAGAGTAGCTACAGCAAATGGAGGAAATGACAAGATTAAAAAGTTGAACAGAAGATTTCAAAGAATAACTTGAGAAGGAAAAGTCAATTATTAAATTGAAATGTACAAATGTCAAGAGTAGAAAAACTAAAGGAAAGAACATGGTTGGCATTTCTCAAACTGAAAGAACTGAAGAAAATATTCAAGCTTTGAGTTACAATGTTGAAAGATTCTATGGGCAAAATATTGAATGATGCAGGAAATATCAAAAGAAGACGGAATGAGGGGCTTCTAGAAAGGTGGCAGAATAGGCAGACAAACTACACAGACCCTCTTCAACAAAGAAAAGAGAAACCAACTGACAGAAATACAAAAGATAATACTAGAGCCCTGAGCTTTGAAAGGAAGTATACAGAAGTAGATTAGGCACCAACTAATGGAAGAACATGAATGAAAATAATGAGAACAGAGACAGACAGAGCTGTAGACTGTCAGCTACGCTGACAGCACCAACAGCCTGAATATTTCCAAATGGTGTTAGGACCTAAGAATTGACCTAAAGATCAGCCCTGGTCAAACATGGGCTGCAGGAATGACTACACTGGTGGCCAATGACTAGGAATGGAAATAGCAAAGAAGGAGACAACCTGAACTGTGGACTTTCAGTTGCCTGGAGGGCACAGCTATCTTGATTGTTTACAAGTGGTGGCCATTTTGGACATGTAAAGTGACCATGGGCACAGCCATTTTGAATGATAACAAGTGGTGGCCATTTTGAATGTTTACAAGTGGTGCTCATTTTGGATTTTAAAGTGACAGCATTCTCATTTGGATTCCAGGGACCTAAGAATAGGCTTTATTTGCCAAGGACGGAGGGACATATGTGAGGTAGACAATGGGAATGGAGACAGGTGGTGAGTGTATAAGTGC